TAAAAATATATTTAATGGAATGATTCAAATAAATCTTTCATTTACTAAGTTATAAAAAGTCAGATGATATTCGAAACAGTTGATAGCAGCAACATAATTTTAACAGTTTTTCTATAGCATGTTTTTAAACATAGTCATTTTTTTTTCTTCGAAGTACAGTAGGGAACCGATTATCCGGAACGATCGGGACCATCGCTATTCCGGATAACTGATTTTTCCGGTTTTTTGAATCGCTACAAAAAGCCGTTTTTTTCATTGTCAAACTCAACTAAAAAAAAAATATTTGGAAATAATCTTAAAAAGAAGAAAAAACGAAGTAATACACTAATGATTATTTCCAAAATGATAGTAAGGTAAACATCTTTCCAAAAAGAAAGAAAAATCCTAAAATCATATGAGGAAGAAAAAAAAATTTTTTTTTTTAAATGGCTGGAAAATTTATCGTATTTTGTTCCGGTTTTTTGGTTTTCCGGTTTTCTGATTTCCGGATAACGGGTTCTGTACTGTAGTAACAATTATGATAAAATTTTTTGATATTTTGGAAGAGTTTTAGAAGCTTTAAATTCGAAGAAGTATGTATTTTGAGTAAGAGTTCAGAAAATTGTGTAAAATAAAAAAAATTATAATTTTAATAGTAAAGCTTCTTCTACCACTTTTTCTGCCATGACTAATAAAGCAGATAAGTATATGTTTCTGAAAAGCATTCAAATGATAGTACTAATTAAATTTAAGATAAAAGTCAAACCAAAATATAACATTTTAAGGAAATTTCGAAATTATTTTGCCACATTTTTTTATATTAGCTTTTCGATAAAGTTGTCAGGAAAATGAGTCATTCAATAGATATATTTGGATATTGAAGTGAAATTACTAAAATCCTAATTTAGTAAAATTATCATCCAATGCAAAAAATAAATAAATAAATATATAGTTTCAAATACTTTAAGCATAGTAAGCATAGAATATAAAGTATTGTTGAAAGTTTTCAACATCTGAATAAAACCCACACCACACACACACACACAAAAAAAATTGGCAACAAATTTGCAAGGAAAAGTTTTTATAACATAATTATTATTGCATTAAATTTACACAATATTGCACAAAATTTTACATTTTACAATTTAATATAACATTTGCAGAGCCGGATTATATCTTTCGTAGGCCCTAGGCATAGCCGTTTTTGGGCACTCCTCTCCTTCCCCCACTCCTCCCCTCTTTTCAAAATATATGCTAAAATTTTCTTGCATATTTTTTTTTACATTTTTATTAATATGGATTTTAATTTACAAATTTGTTTATCGAACTTTATATGCATACCCTCCAACTGCTACGGAATTTCTGTAGTTTCAGAAATCTTCTTTTCAGACGGTAGCAAAATTAATATCTTAATATTTAAAAAAAATAATAATTTTAGCGTAACTTGTCCACTATTACTTATAAAAAAGCAGGCCATATGGCTAGATTTTTAAGTTCTGATAAAAGTTTTATAAGAGATCCATTTGCTTTAAAAATTTCTACTTTAGTTCGCTACCACTAGAAAGAATTATTTTCAAAATCCTCATAAGTTGGAGGGTATGTATCTGCAATACCAAACTTTATCTGCAATGTATCTTCATAATTTTGTGCAAAATACATTTGTTGTTTTTAAAGCTAAATTATTTTTGTCAAAAAAAAATTTTCCCCAAGTTTTTCGTAGACCCCTGAATTTTGTAGGCCCTAGGCACGTGCCTATAGGTTAATCCGGCCCTGAACATTTGCTATTTAATATCTGATTTATAATAAAAAATATCATTTGTAATAAAATTTTTACATCAAAACTTTCTATAGTTTCATAACTGGATCAATTTCTTAATTAAATAAATTCTGCAATTTAATTGGATTTTTTTTTTCAAGAAATAAAATTTTATTTTACTAAAATAAATTCTCATTACTCTTACAAAATGTACTAAATTTAATTTAAATTTAAGTCAATTTTAGGAACTTTATTAAAATGCTAGCAAAAATATATAAGTCAAATGCTTAACAATAATACAATAAATAACTGAATAAATAATTAAATAGAAATAATTACATTTATTATCTTTTATTCATTAAACTTATGGTACTTCAGTAACCAACAATTTTTAAACACACTATATTTAAGCTTTATTTATTTATATAATATACACTTCATATCAGACCAGCTAGAAATGTAAACATATAAAACTTTTTCTACATTCAAATCATATTAGTTTTGTTTCATCGATATATTTTTGTGTTACTTGTATTTATTAACTAAAAATATAATACTAAACAAGTAAAACCATTAAAACCACTAAACATGACATGTAACATTGCCTTTCAGTTCTTCACTGGTTTAGCAATATTTGACAGAAATTTGAAAGAATTCTTTATAGCATTTTTCATTAAGTTATAGCAGAAAAAAATTTTTATTATTGAAAAGTTAAATTTCTTTCCAACTTCCAGCTCATAAACTTAATTTCCACCCCCCCCCCCTTTTTTTAGAGTTACTTCCTTCAAAAAGTTTATAGGTTTCTTTATAGAAAGCTTGATAGACCAATATATATATTATTATACATTATTTAAAGAAACAGAACTCTTTTTTTTAAAAAAAAAGAAAGAACAAAATATTACACCACTTTATACCATAATTGTCAAGTTATAAAAGTTACCATTGAAAGTACTTTCTCAACAAAAATAAACCCTAAAACACCCAAAAAGAAAATAAATTATTTTCACTGCTCAATGTTTAATTTCAAAATAAAACATAGCATACAAATATAAAAATGTACGAAACATAAGAGAATACTTACTGAATGTTCTTTTTTCATTGGGAGAAATCTTATAAGGAAGAACTTGCACCTCATCATCATCTTCAGATTCACGAACTCTGTTTTTACCCCTTCGCTTCAATTTAGCTGCTCTTTCCTGTTCATCATCAGAATAATCTAAATGCTATTAAAATTAAATAAATACATTACTGTCAACATTGGAGAAATAAAATAACGCAGATTTTACAAGCGAAATTTTTTGGGCTATGAGTAAAGTTTTGATACATCAAGGATAATCATGCAAGTCAAAAAGAGAAATTCTAAATTGGAAATAATATTAGCACTTATATTTAGCGAAGTAAAAAATATGTATATAAATCTTAATCTAAAGAAGATTATTTTTGAACCATTATTTATAATTACTTAAACTATAAACACTCAACATACTGCAGTACTAACAATAGCGGCATCTGTTGAGGAATAAGATAAGTACATTTGTTGCCATTAGTGAATATTTTATCATCAACAATTTTTTTTAAAAGTTTCTTCCACATATAAGGAGAAAATTGAGAATATACAGGTAAACAGGAGATAAGGGTAAAAATAAAGGAGTCTTTGTTAAAAAAAAAAAAAAACAGGAGACTTGGCAGGTATGTAAATAAAAAATTTTTACAAAACAGACCTAGACATTGTACCAGCTTCATTTAGATAGAGCTTATAGCTTCACTATCTTTTTAAAAAAAATTTAAGTATTTTTTAAACAAGATTAGCCACGAGTCCAAACACCCAAAAACTAAAAGAATTCACAAGACAGTTCAAATTTTCATTGTTACATTGTCACATTCCATTTTAAATTTAGTAGGTAAATTTAGTAAAAAAAGGAGTAGGGCACTGAACTGAATACTAGAAGTAAATACAATCAATGTAATATTAGATGAAATGAATAACTCCAGAATATGCTTAGCAATCAAAATAATGTAGACAAAATAAACACCTAAGATTTTACAAAACTAGGATTGGCAAAATCATAGCTTTATATACTTACACTGAGTAGCCAAATTATTATAACAACCTGACAGTTTTAAGCAAAATGTGCAATTGCGTCACAGAATAGAAGGGAAGATAGTTATAAAAAGGGAATGCAAGACAAGTGAATCATCAATTGCATTCATTGTGTTTACCCGTGGAGATATGGGCAATAAACGTGATTTAACAAAGTTTGAACATGGGATGATTATAGGCGCTCAAGTGTTGGATCCAGTATAAACAAAATGGCTACTTTTGTGAAGTGTTCCGAGTGGACTACCAAGGAGGAAACCAGATCTCAACATCGGGTTACTGAATACTTGACCTGAGAGAAGATTTGCGCGAGTTGTCCTGTCCAACAGAAGAGCTACAGTACATCAAATAGTGGGCTGACTTAACCATGTGCCACACACTACACCGTATAGGCTAAGGGAGCCGCCAACCAGTTTGAAAACCTGTGCTGTCAGCCTTGAACAAGAGCAGACATCTCTAGTTAGCAAAGGAGCATAAGGATTGGACAGTAGATGACTGGAAAAGGATCATGTGGTCTGATGAATCACAATTTCAATTACACCATGAGAATTAAAGGGTTCGGATATGGCAAAAACTCCATGAAAGCATGGACCCCAACTGCATTACCACAAAACTTCAAGTTGGTGCAGGCAATGTTTTGGCTTGGGCTGGGGGATGTTTTCTTGGCATAAGATGAATTCTTTGGTTCCTGTGGAACAATGCCTGAATGCCTAAAGCTATTTAAGTGTTTCTCAGATCAAGTACATCCTGTTATGTTAATGGTGTACCCTGCCAAGGATGGATACTTTCAGAAAGACAATGCTCCTGGTCATATAGCTTGTATTGTCGTCAGATGGTTCGAAGAACGTGGCGGTGACTTTACCTTTGTTTGCTTGCACAATCACCAGATCTTAATACAATTAAGAATTTGTGAAATGAGATCGAATGGAGCATCAGACAGCTGAATCCAGTACCATCCAATCTTACGAAACTGAAAAGGGCAGTTCACCGGATATGAGGTTAAATTTCTCCTACCACTTACCAGCATCTCATAGAATCTATGCCAAGAAGAATACTAACAATATTACAGGCTAAAGGTGGTCCAACATTGTATTAAGGGGATGGTCATAATAATTTGGCCACTCAGTGTATATATATGAAGCTTTTACTGATTGAATTTTTTATTGAATAATTGATTTTAAAAAAAATTTTTTTTTCATTAACAAACCACAGCTTTCATAAAATGTATTAATAATGCTTAATAATATTATTTAAAAACATTACTGTGACTAAAATACCTAATATTTCCAACTAAAATGGTTGAATTTATTATAAATTATTTTGTTAATCATATTTCTTACAAATTTTAGGCAACAGAAATAAAATGTTCTAATTTACCTCTTCAGGAGGCTCATTGTTATCTTTCCATGAAGCATCAGAACCTTTTTGCCTAGGGAAAAAAAATAGACAATAAGAAAGTTAATTTATTAACTTTAAATCATACAAATACCTATTATTTAAAAAATAATTAGAATATTGTTTTTTCTTTAATAACATTTACTAGTTCAACTATATATATAACACATCTAAAAGCATATAATTATAATATCAAGTATAGTCTGTTACATTTAGAAATTTTTTTTAGTCTTAAGGTTAATATAGATCAATTTTGAAAACTAATAAAAACTATTTTAAAAAGCACATTTATATTTATTCATATAAATTAAAATTTATGAAAGAGAGTCATTTAGAAATAATAATTATACATGGTGCATAAATCTTTAAACAAACATTATGTATGTAATCTTCAGTAATTTTAAGACTTCATTAATATTTATATCATACATAGCTTAGATTAAATAACAAATATGATGAATTTAAATGTTTATAACAAACTGAAAATTAATTATTCATATATCTAAACATTACTTTGAGAAAATTCCATTCATGCAGAAATCATGTGTTTAAGAGTCAAATATTATTCTAAGAAATTTTTTAAGTATTATGCTGAGTTCTCACTAGGAATAAAAAAGGGCAAGGTGCTTCCACACAGAAAAAGGCACTTTGAGTTCTGAAAGGGCACTCACTGAACACCGTAAAAATTTATCAAATGTATAATGTTATGTAATAACTGAATTCGATCCTCAACAATTTTTAAATGGCCTTCTTATACTATTTCATGTGTACATTGCAAAAGTTACTCACTATCAAAATAAAAGAAATTTTTTCAGCTTTTTAAAAAAATTAAGACATCCTAAAGGACAATCACTGCCCACAAATGTTTTCAAAAAAAGTAAACTAAAAAAATTATTAATTGATAAACAATTTGAAAGCTTTTTCCATAATTTACATTGAAAATTATGAGACAATGAACATTTGAAGGGACATTTTTTTAAAAAAGGTCTTTATTTAAAAATAATTACAACATTTAGAATCACTTGCATTAACATTTATTAATATACCCTCCAGAAAAAAGAGAAATTTAAAATTTAGTTAATAATAATAATACAAATTAAATATAAAATAATTATAATACAAAAATAAATATAATATTTATAGAATATAAAAATTAATAATAATATAAATTAAAAACTTAACCACTTAAAAATAATACTAACAAATTAAATATTTGTAATAGTAATCAGAATTAAACCTATGAACTCAAATAATTTTACCTGTGTAATTATTATTTAAACATTGAATTAATTTTTTTAATGGAACATGAATAAAAAAAGTAGCACAATGATGGCTTATTTTTACAAGTAGGGCAAAGAGGATGCAAAGGGCAGGCAGGGTGAGTCATCCTAAAAATGCTCTAGTAGAACACTGATTATGCTAATAGCACTCAGAAAATTTGCAGAACCCAAGATACCATTGTTATATCTTCTAAACATGTGTTGCAAGTTAAGAAACAGATTGTTGCATAAATATATTTACAGTCAAACCCCGCTATAGTGAACCTTCAAGGGACCGAAATTTCGTTCACTATAACCGGGAGTTCACTATATCCGCTCCGCAAACAATTTTAACTAATAGTTCTGAACTCCTTTTTTTTAATTATACATGACCAATAATGACTGAAAAAGAATACGTAGTAACACAAATATGTTAACTTGCTCCTATTTTTCATTACTCTTTGTCCTGTGTACAAAATAAAAATTAGTAATCTTTGGCTGATGCAGGGAAAATTTGTCGATACATCTGCCTGAGTTGGCCTTTGTTTAGGGATAGAAAAGTGAGATAAAAGAAGCAAACAAGAAAAAATACTTATGGCTACATTACACTCAATAGATGGTTTTAAAAATCAGTATAAGTATTTATTTTGAAGTAGACATTTCAAAATTATTAAAAATTAATCAGTCGAAGACAGAAAAAAGTTCAT